GCTGTGTAAGGAAGTGCACAGCTGATGTGACAGTGTTGATGATTATTCTAAATGCAGAATACATATTAAGAATTTAATAATTTATTTTATTGCTATTTTATGTTGCTGTTAACTACACACCGTATAATATAATAAGAAGCTCCTGACAAAACAGCATGACCAGTGAGATGTCAGTATGTCCTGCAAAAAGACCAGGAAAGCAAAAGACATGTGCTGTCAGTGTAAGCGATGCGTGTGTGTGGAACATGCTGTTGTCATGTGTACAGGCTGCCTTTGGTGTGATAAGTGAAGTGAAGATTTTTTTTTGTGGAGTGCTATTGGCGTTTTCTTTATGATTCATATGGGAGTTTATTTTTGATGTTCTTTTAAAGACTTTGAACCCCAAAACCAACTTGATGTTGAAAATTTTGATGCTTTACTATAAACACTCAAGAAATATTAAAAACAATAATTTATTTTTGTGATTTTTTTCCTGTTAAGTACCCATTGTTTAATATAATAAACCTCATAAAATTATAATTACTAATTCATCAATAAAAATAGTCTAAAGTCACTCTAAATAGTCACCTTCACACCGAAATTAGTCTTATGCTCCAAGGTTAAAAGAGTCTGATGACATCCCTGCTGGAGAGCCTGTGAAGACAAATTCCTTCAGATTAATACTTGAGTCCTTCATGGTATTCAACAGAATAGCTTGGATTTATTAGGTACTCAGCAAACAAGTGAATAAGGCATCTAGCTATTTGTTTTTCTCAAAAAACTTTCATACTCATGTCACCGCCATACCCTTCAGAATTGTAGAAAAGGGGGATGTGACTCTTGTTTTTCTAAACAGTTAGTAATAGTTACTTAAGCAGGATATTTGGCTCCCCATGATCAAGTTGAGAGAAGCTCTGCTCTTGGTCCTGATCAGATGAATGTGAATGCTGTTCTCAGTGAGCTACTCTGTAATCTACAGTGCCATGGGTTTGTAACCCTTGCTTTTAAGTCATACCCTAGAAATGGTCTGTTTTTTCCTGACCTTGTCTTGATTTCAGATGAAGCTAAGTGCACTATAAACTGTCAAAGTGGGTGATCTTCCAGTACTGCCCTGTATATCTTGTATGCATTTCAATTCTATTGAATTCAGCACTGAACGCAAATTATATACATGCAACATTACAACTAAAGTAAAAGGTTCATCTTCATCTACAACCAAACAGCTGGCTCTGTAGCAGTTCCCCAAGAAAATGAAAAGCTATTTCTTAATAGATTCTGTCAGAAGTATGTGTCATTTCAGACAGAAATCCTCACACAGAGCACTCATGTTTGAAGTCTTCCTTCTTGTCCAGACACATTTCATTTCTGTGTCAGACTTCTGCAGCTCATACTTTGGGCTTACCTTTGCTGTACTCCTCTTGCACTCCCAATACAAATCAGTTATAGCTCTTGTAGCTTTCTATTCAGGCTCTCAGTCATGGCAATTTGAAATCTCCCACATGCTTACCAGTGAGCTTAGGAGAGCTGTGTTCTTAGCTAATGATATTTGTCACAGGCTTGGGAGTGGGGAGTAGAAGCATCCAGGTATATATTTGTCATTCTGTGTTCTGTACTTCAGGTTTCGGGAATCTGTTCCTGGATGAACAGGGCAAAGTAGAAGGAATACTAAACTCTGTCTCAGAAAACCTGATTCAGAGCTTTAGCTGTGGTTGTAAGTATCTGTATAGTTTTGAAACGACCACAAACTGCCTACATTCTGTTCTTCCACATTATGTAAATTGAGGGTGCTGAATTCAAGCATGACTGGCAAATAGCTCCAAAGCTACTGCCGAGTACCATGCACAGGGCCAATGGAGGACACTAATCAGTCATTCAGTCATGCGCTCTTTCCCTCTAAGCCTCCTCCCATCCCAAGAATTCTGGGCACCACATTTTAGGCAGCTACTTTAATGTTTTTGTACTGATAAGTACACAAAAACATCCTGTCAGTTTTCTATTGCTCTGTAAAAGCCACTCCAAAATTTAGTAGATTAGGACAGCAATAATCAACTCTCTAGTACTCTGTGTGTGTGTGTGTGTGTGTGTGTGTGTGTGTTTCTGGGGATCAAACACAGGGCCTCATGCATGCTAAGCATAACAGCCATCATTTATTTTGCTCTATGAATATGCCCGTTCAGGGCTTGGCAACTTGGCATACACACGCTTCTCTGTTCCTACAGCATCAGTGAGAACAACTCTATCCAAGATGGCTCTCTCCTGTGGCTGGCGAGTTGGTGCTGCTCAGGCTGAGACTCAGCTCCTCCTTACGCTAGTCTTTCCACGGGCCACACTGAATTTCTCACACTACAGAGGCTGAGTTCTGAGAGCAAGTGATCCAAGAAACAAGGAAGAAGTACATAGCATCTTTGCAGCTTAGCCTCTGCGATCACACGATGTCATTCCCACAGGATTCTCTGGGTCTAGGTATTCCAGTCAAAGAGACACAGTCCTTTCTGGGTGGGAGAGAAAGTACTCGGGGTCAAGCCTGGGCCTCGTACATGCTCAGCAAGTGCTCCACCACCGAGCTGTATCCTCACAAAGACACAGTCTCTTGTTGGAGGAGCAGTGAGGTCCTGGAAGATCACGAAGGCTGCCCTGTATTATTTCAGCCATTTTCAGCAATACAAGCAGCCAGGCACACTCACCAATTCTAAATTAATCTATGAGAATCTAACAACCAGTCTTTCTTTCCCTTCTCTCCTCCCACAGAACATCAAACTTTATTTATGCTAATGTGCTGTCAATTAGATATTTCAAACAATAGAAAATATCTTGCTTTCCTTACTAAATTTTTTCATATGCTTTTTAATTTGTATTTTAAAATTGCATGGTAAAATTAACTTTTTTCTTTTCACATGCAGTTCTATGATTTTAAACATATACACCAGCCAGGTGTGGTGGCGCAGACCTTCATCCCAGCACTCAGGAGGCTGAGGCAGGAGGATAGTTGGGAGTTTGAGACCAGCCTGGGCTACAAAATGAGCTCAAGGCCCACCTGAACTGCATAGTGAGACCCTGTCTCAAAAAGAAAAGAAAAATACACACGCACACACACACACACACACACACACACCAATTCATTTAAGTATCACTATGATCAGAGTAACAGTACTGGCAAGCAAAAATAAAGTACTCCTCATACTATCCCCGCTTTCCATACCCCTAATCATTGATCTGCTTTCCACTTTGTCTCTTTGAAAATATTATATGAATGTAACCATATGGTATGTAAAGCCTTACATAACCTGGCTCCAGCTACCTTTCCAGGCCACTTTGTATTGCTTTCCTGTGTTTTCCACATCACTTGGTCTTTTTGTTCTTCTGAGAATAGGTTCTTTACTTTTCCATCCTTGACACTGCTGTTCCCACAGTTGGCTTCTCTGTCCTGCACCTCGCCTGTGTGGCTCATAAACTCCTGCACCAGGAAGGTATTCAGCTGGGAAGTGAGCCCCCTTTGGTAGTAGAGAACAAGTTTCCAAGTAATTCTAGTAGGTTCTCCCACCTACGAGAAGGGAGGGGATCCAAGCAGGTGGCTGGTTTATCCTCACGAGCATTGTGTTCTGCAGGAGGGACTTCTCCTTCAAACCCATCTGCTCTTCAGCCCGCTGCACTAGAGGGTAAAGAAAGAATATATACAGTATTAAGGTATTATCTTATGCCTGTCTGAGTCATTCCCTGACAGCTTTGAAACTTTTTAAGAATTAAATTTAATGATACTGTAATTTTTAAAATTACTTTCCAACAAAGCATGAAGTGCTCTGATAGCTGTCAACAATATGTCACTTCCCTTCAGCAGTGAAAGCTGAGAATGAATAATTTAATAATATTAATAGTTTCCTGATAGAAACAATTGGCTCAGTCTGATACCAAGCCATTTAGCTTGGACTTCAGGCTGCACTGAGGAGGTAAGAAAAGATGAAAAGGAGCTCTTGACATCAACTGTCACTCTCAACTTCTTTATTTGTTGGCAGAAATAATTCTCAGCGTCAGAAACATCCAGTATTAATGAATCTACTCTTTGGAACAAAATTCTAAAGCAGTGATTTATTTTTATTTTACTTATTTGCTTATTGTTGGTTTGTTTGGTTTGTGACAATGTCTTGCTATGTAGCCCAGGCTGGCCTCAAACTCCCAGGCAATCCTCCTGCCTCAGGCTACTGAGTGCAGGGATTATATGTGTAAGCCACTAGGTCCAGCCTGAAGGAATGATTCTGAAAGTCCATTCTTGCCCCCAAGGAATATTTAATAGAAAAAAAAGTCATGAATTCCAACTTCCTTAGCCATTTTTCTGGATGGGCCAAGATATCTAAATCACGTTTCCAAAAGCTCATTTAAATTCTAAAAATGCTAAGTGAAGTTATTAATGATAGCAAATTCTAAGTATGTCAAGTATGTAATATATTAAAATTAAATTATATATAGTTTCTCCATTATATAATTATGTCCATTTTATAGTGCATAGAGAATATATATGGAAAGAGAGAGAGAGAGAGAGAGATGAACTATTATATGACACGTGTTGCCAGAATCTCCACCTGTAGAACTCCCTCATGTCCTGTCACACTTTATCCACAGCATTAGCACAGCACCTGCACGTAATAGGCATCCATTAATGTTTTGCCGTCAGTATTTTCTCAATGAATGAATTAGTGAATAAGTACAGAGCTCTAAGGGGAAGTCTCTAAAAGCTCATTCATTCATTCATCCATTTTTATAGATTCCATGTGCTCTCAGACAAAAAAGGTGTCTTCTCAGATACTTAGGAATGAACAGCATCACACTAACAAAATGCTGGATCCCACATCAATCCTTCTAGGATCGAAACCTAGTCCTGGTAAGTGAGGTGGTCGAACGGGGGTAAGAGTAGCCTAGAACTTGGGGCCATTTCTATACTTTTCCTCCACTCCAAGGTAACACTGAGGGCTGAGGTACTTTCACAGTGTTCTCAGTCCTTGATGTGCTGCGAAGAGGGGCAGGCAGGCTGATCTAACACTTTGCCATCCAGGTGACAGGCGATGACCCAGGCTTCTGGGGCAACATACTCTCCAGGGACAAGGACGGGCAGGAGAAGCCAGCTTCTCTCACATTGTGAGCCGAGAGCTCTCATTAATGCCTCAGCTGTTCTTAAATGCTCTTTGGGAAAACCCAACCCTCTGAATTTGAGCCGTAGGATTAGTAGAGTCAGGATGATTAACTAAGAACTACTTTCCTCTCCTTTAAAAGGAGGGGCGTGACTCACTATTTAAGCCACATATCTGAAAATAAATATCTAAAGTGCTCTAGAAACAGGGTGTAATTAAGACTTTTCCTAACAAAAACAATCTTCTTTTAAAGCGGATTTCTTATTTAGTATTTCTCTTTTAGATTTGTTTACACTTAATATATATCTATGGTGCCGTGGAGACAGTGGTTCACAGTATTTACAACCGATTTATAAGGGGATATTATTACAGGAAGGAGGTTTAGGCTCAGAGAATTGAACTCTTGCTCACCGTCCTGAGGCAGTGCCAGAGGACAGATAGGAAGAGAGGTCCAGGTCTCCGCCCTCTTTATCCCTCCCTCTCTCCCCATACTCAGCAACCCTCCAAGCTACCCCAGGAATTCTATAGCATAAGGAGCAGTGTGCTGGCTTTGCCAATGAAGCTTTAAATCCTTCAGCATTACTGCAACCCCTGAGATTTTCCTATGTTGAATTAAGCATCCAATAAAGGGTGAAACTGACGTAAGGACCTGGAACTTTCTGACTCAGTGCTGCTGTGTGTTCCTGTCCTTGCTTTTAGGAGCCTACCCTCCAACAGTTACACACCAACTTCCACTTACGTTTTCATTTTGACTCTTTCCTTCTGAATAAATCAGGGCAGAACCTCTGCTTAACGCATGCTTCAGAAGTTTTCCTATCTTTCCCTTTGGATCTCATGAAAACTCACCAGATAAATGAAGAATCCAACCAACTGTCCACTCCCCATTCAATTTGCCTGAACACTCACAGAAATCCCAGAGGCTTCACAGATTGTTTTCCAATCTGGAAACTTCAATTATCTCTCTCTCCGTTCTCTCTCCCCTCCATCCCCCTTTCTCTCTTCCTCCCATCCTCCTCTTCCTTACCATGATAAGCTACTTTTTGTTCTTCGTGTTATGCTTCCATTAAGATGAACTTGAATTGTGATCCTTTCCGCTGGATGCATTTCCTAGCTTAAAAGCTTGAATTAAAATGACATCAATCCTACTTCTTCTGCCCTGTGGCTTTATTACTCATGGTACATATTTGTATCCCTCCATCTTTGTGTCTAAGAATTTCATAGACAATCTCCCCCAAAATGACTCAGTGTTCTAGAATTTGTGACTTCAAGCAGCAAGTACATAAATTACCTCATGTTTAAAAATTTCATTTTTTCACAAAGAAAATTCCAGTCCACTCATTGCTTTCTATAAGTCTGACTTGTTTATAATTAAAATGAGAATTCAATTAGTTGGCATTTATATAATAAGCACTGCATAAAGTACATTTGCTTTAGAGAAAGACCCTGCAATAGCAGCACAGCTTTCTGCGAGAAGGTTACCCCTAAGTGGCAGTGAGTCCGATATGTATTAACTCAGATATGACTTAAAAAAAAAACTTTGTCATCTACTGAGTAGCTATTTCATTCTGGCTTGGTTGATAAAACATCAGCTCTAAAAATAAAATATACTGTAGATTGTTCTTTTTTCTTTCACTTAAAAAAGCAACCGTTAAAGAAATAAAAATCAACCTTTTTAATTTTGCCTTTTTGTATACCCAGATAATGAATTTTTTTAAAAAAAAAAAATGACTACACATATTCTACTTTGGAAGAAACTAACTGGAAGGCAGTAAGCTAATAGTTTTGGCCTACAAGAAGTTTAAGTATCCAACATTTAATTCTTTCCTGTGAAATGAGATCTAGCTTTTAAAAAAAATGTTCCCATTGCCTGATTGCCTGATACATCTATCCTCCTAGACCAACTGCAATCACATTTTGCTCCATTCAGTGGCATTTATTAAATTCTGCCTTTTGTTGAAGTTATCTGTGTTAGTGTGTAAAAAGTGAGTGCATAATAAAAAATATTTAACAATATAAGCCCAGTTGATGTATCTTGTATCTCTCTCTCTTTTTCATTGGTACTGGGAATCGAACTCAGGACCTTGCACTTACAGGCAGGCACTGTGCCACCGAACTATGTCCCCAGCCTATCTTGTATCTCTTAAAGCACCAAAAATGCCTTCTGATTTTCCTAACTGCAGTCTGTACAATGCTACCATCAAGTTTATTTTCCTAAAATTCAGCTCTGATTCAGTCATTCTTTGGCTAAGAACATACAAGTTTCTAGCTGTGTACAGTATTATATGTTCTTATAGCGCCTGGCATGTTTAGCATCCCATAATGTGGCCCTGAACCTGTCCTTTCCAGCTTCACTTAGGTGATATTTTCCACTGAACCTTGTCTCTTCCTATTTCTGAGAAGACATTCTGGGATTTCCCATTATTCATGTGCTATTCCCATAAACTAGAATGCCTCATACGGAGACCTATCTCAAACCAGTTCCACAAAGCCAGGTCTGATCTACCCATTCAATGCATCTCTCCTTGTTTCAGATCTTTGCAGTGTGTGGTTACACTACACTTGTATACTTGTGTCACTACTGCCTGCTTGGTATTAAATTATAAGTCTGTGTGCTTGTTTATCTCCACAATTTGAAAATAAACACATGTTTGAAAGGATGTGAGCTCTGAGGTTGGAAAAACGTAAGTTTATGTCCTGCCTCTGTCTGTGAGCTATGTGATTTTGGACAAGTAACCTATCTTCCTGAACTTCTCTTATTTCTTCTATAGAAAAAAATTACTTGTTTTCTTCTCTCTCTCATGTCTGAGTTATCACAAAATCATTGCAAGTAAAAAGATTCTGTCCAGTCAACCCAACTCCATTTACACATACCAAAAAGTGACAAAGATGGGGAAAAACCAGGACTAATGAGTGAAAAAGAAAGTTTGAACTGAAAGTCTAGAAAATTCCAAAGAAAAAGAATGTATGTTAAAAATATTTAGCTACGGAAAGGAAGCCAAAGAATAGCTTTGTTTTTAATTCCTCGAAGGACTTTTATCAGTGGTGTGTACATTCACTGTCAGGAAGCAATATCCTTAGTCACTCAAAACAAAGCCCCTGGGAATCGATAAAAGGTCATCTCACTTTCCTCTGAATCTGTCTTTGTACTATGTCTTTCTTTCAGAAATGGAGCACGCCTGCAATCCCCGCACTCAGAGGCTGAGGCAGGAGGACAGTTGCAAGTTTGAGAACAGCCTGGGCTACAAAGTGAGCTCAAGGCCAGTGTCAACTGCATAGTGAGACCCTGTCTCAAAAAGAAAAAAAAAAACAAAAAACAAACAATAGAAATGGAGATATGGACGGGCTGCGCTATAGCCCAAGGGTAGGCATGTGCTTAACAAACATGAGACCCTAGTTTCAATCTCTAGCAGTACACAAACAACAAACAAACAAAAATCAACAACACTGAAAAAAATCAGTGCCATGCAGGACATGCTGAAAAACTATAGTACCTTGTCTTCAAAACACAAGAAACTTCCCATGCTCGGGAATGACTTTCTGAAACAAATTTGCCTGCTCTTTGGCAGTAGCGGAAAATACTGTACATATTAACAATAGTGAGAATCACAACCCTGGACATTTGCCAAGAATTTCTTAGGAGCCAGGCACTCTACCCCTCGCTTAGGAATACTATCTTGTGTAATCATCTCAGTAGCCCAGTAAGGCAGGCTTCATTTTATTCATATTACAGATGAAGGAACCAAGGATATTAAGAGATCTTGCCCAAGAACAATGAGACTTGTATCCAAATGCTGGATGCTAAAACTTATTATCTTTCTAGTCTGTCGTATTATCTCTCAGCCCCCCAAAATTGTCTTACAAAATAGCAAGGAGCTGAAGTTGACTACCAAGACCAAGCTGTGGGTTTCTATCAGCAAAGCTGCTGAAAATCAGGCAGCCCAGCGGAGTCTAATGCTAAGTACTTTAACTGTCACTCTCAGTACTTCCTGGAGGGTTGATTAATTAAATTATTTGTACTCCAAATTATTGTCCTTCTTAACAGCTAGATAACCTCTTTATTCAGAGTAATCCATGGAGCTTGTTAAAAAAGCACGCTTCCTGCCCCTCCCCAGTACTATATTATATACTTGCAGTTTGCTGAGAGTAGGCCTTAAACGTTCACACACATACTCTCATAAGTATGGAGGTGATGGATGTGTTAACTTGTGAATCATTTCACACTGTGTACATATATCAAATCATCACTTGCATACCTTAAGTACATATGAGAGGTGATTGAAAAATACAGTGTGTATTTATTTATTTATTTATATTTATTTATTTTTTGGTTTTTCTCCCGTACTGGGAACCGAACTCACGACCTTGTGCTTGCCAGGCAGGCGCTTTGCCGCTGAGCTAAATCCCCAGCCCCCAGTGTGTATTTAAATTTTTAAAATTTAATTAGAGTAAGAAGCCTATGGACAATAATCCCCTCAAAACACTCCTACTCATCAGACACCCATCCCGTTGTTCTTGCCACTCTTTGAAGAACTTCTCCTCGTCCTTTTTCATCGGTGTCTTTAGTGGCACTATTTTCTGCTGCCTCGGTGTCCGGAATCAGTGTTTACCTTTCATGGTCATTTTGACTTGGGGGAAGAGCAAGAAGTTGACTGGTGCCTGATCGGGTGAATAAGGTGGATGAGGACACCCCATTATTTTTTATAAGCCTGCCTTTCTGCTGGATGGCACTTAGGAATAGCATTCACTGTACGTTTTATTTAATCACACCTCTTAAAGACACTTGTATCATTGTATTTGTCAATTATGCTCAATAAAGCTGGAAAAAATAAAATAAATCCATATTAAAGAGGAAGTAGAACAAAAAAATCTTTTTTTATCTTTTTGAGACAGGATCTCAGGCTGGGCTTGAGTTCACTGCATAGCCCAGGCTAGTCTTGAACTTGAAACGATCCTCCTGCCTCAGCCTCCCGAGTGCTGGGATTATAGGAGTGCACCACCATGTCTGGCTGTAGAATTTTGAATTGAACAAATATAGGAAAGGCCTGTGCTAAAAGTTGCAGAGCTATACTCTTAAGATTAGTATTGTACTGATATATTGGGCAGGGGATATAGCTCAGTGGCCCAAGTGCCTGCCTGGCAAGCACAAGGTCGTGAGTTCGATTCCTGGTACCAAAAAAATAAAAAAATAATAATAAAGTATTGTACTGATATAGAAATAGGTGTGTTAAGATCTAAAAGGCATATTATTGAATGAATAAAAGAGCTGCAGCATAAGTACAAAAACATTAGTCTCAAGCTGGACTTGGTGGTGCACGCCTGTAATCTCAGCACTCGCGAGGCTGAGGCAGGAGGATCCCCTCAAGTTTGAGACCAGCCTGGGCTACATAGCAAGTTCAAGGGCAGCCTGAAATATAAAGTGAGATCCTGTCTCAAAAAACAAATCAAAACAATTGTGAGTCACACAATAAAATGTCAATAGTAAAAAATAAAATAGCCTGGAAACAGGGCTCAGTGACAGAGCACTTGTCTAGAATGTACAGAGCATGGGGCTTGGTTCCTAACATTGCAAAACAAGTTTAAGAAGTAAACATAATAAATAATAAAAACCCAAGGTTACTTAGAAGCACATTAAAAGTTTGAAAAGCACTGATTTGTAAGGTCCTTTTTGTGAGGATTCTCAGATCCTGAACACTGGAAAACCACGCTTTCTTTCCCTTTCCATGACAGTCTTCCTCATTTGGGTTTCACAAGGATCCACTAATGACTCGGGCCAACATGGTTTTAGAAAACACGAAACTGTTCTAACGTGTATATAGTCGCAAGACAGTTCTGAAAATGAGGGCATCTTTTCTGCCTTACCAAAGCCAACGAATGACAGCATGACAGCCCACAATTCAAAGTTCTGCTCTACTCACCTATAGCTGATTTTGGGCTGGGGGTTAGTATTAGTGACAGAAGGCAAACTGCGATTGTTGGTTAGCTTTCTAACACATCAGAAATACCGGAAGAGAATAGATTTATTTTGGGGCTTACAGTTTCAGACGTTTGAGTTCATGATCTGTTGGTCTTACAGCTTTTAGGCCTTGGTGAGCCAGCACATCTAGCAAAAGCACATTGGGGAGGAGAATCACTCCTTTCCTGGCGGGGAAGCAAAAGATAGATGGGTATGGATAGGGCCCACAGTCCCCTTTGAGGGCACATCCAATGGCACAAGGACCTCCCACTATGTCCCCACCTGTTAAAATTTCCCCATCTCCCAACAGTACCCAGCTGGGGGCCAAGCCTCTGGCACATGGCCTATGGGGGGATACTTAAGGTCCGAGAAATAGTAGATAGGAACAGATGAAAATAGATTTTGAGGAGGCCAAACAGAGATACCACTGTTAACTGCATTTTGGATTCCTATGACTGGTTAGCATAGCCTTTCTGCAGGAAAAAATGGCTGTATGTATTAAGAACATGAAAACTCTTTGATTTAGTGATACTGTCCTAAGAATTTGTCCTAAATGAAACACTAAATATGCACAAAGAAAAATTAATGAAAATGTACATGGGTCATTATTTATGTTAGTGAAAATTATAGACACAAAAAGGGAATGGTTAACTAGATTATGATGTAGCCACATAATTGAATCACATATAGCCCTCACAATTTTATTTTTGTTTGGGGAAAAGCTGATGTAAAGGTAAGCTTCCTGAATAAAAGTGGAGGATGATTTCATGTTATAAGTATTTTATTTCATGTTAGAAGTATTTTATATCATATTTCATGATGATTTCATGTTTGATTATACAAACATATTTATTTATAAGGAACAAACTGGAAAGATATTAAAAAAATCAGCTAGCTATTGCTTAGTTTAAACTGAGAAAATCCATTTATGATTTTTAATATTCACCCCATTTTCTATAATAACCATGTATTATTTCTATCATTAGGGAAAAAATTTAAGTAACACCAAAATATATAGTTGGCAATCATTAATTACTGCTTCTGATTTAAATTCTTTTTTTTTTTTTTTTTTTTTTTTTTTTTTTTTTTTTATTAATTTTTTATTTTTTTTATTTTTTCTTTTTTTTTTTTTTTTTTTTTGGTCTTTTTGAGACAGAGTCTCACTATGCAGTTCAGGCCTACCTTAAACTCACTTTGTAGCCCAGGCTGGCCTTGAACTCACAGCAATCCTCCTGCCTCAGCCTCCCAAGTGCTGGGATTACAGTCATGCGCCACCACGCCCGGCCTTGATTTAAAGCCTTGAACTGGACAGGGAGGATGAAACAACCTATCACTTTTTTCTACCCAGCTGCTCTGATTTGGAAGAAGGGCTCCTCTGTGGGCAGCCAATATATTCTTTGACAATGACAGGCATCACAGACTTTATTCTCCTGCTAAATTCTAGAATACAACAATAATTTTTTCCAAGGTCAAAAGTGCGTATATTCTACTGAAGAAACTTAGGAAAAAAAAACTAAAAAAAATTTTGAATAATTATAGAGCCATAGGAAGTGGCAAAGATAATACAGTCTTTTGCCCCTTTCGCTGAGTTTCCTCTTGAAGCAAAACAAATTACTTCATAGCTTTTATTCTTTTGGGGGAGAGAGTGCTACCGAGCAAACTCAGATCCTGAGCATGCCGGGAAGTGCTCTATCACTTAGGTCCAATCCCTTTATACTTACAGGATGAGATGAGTGCCGAGAAGCAGTGTCAGTTCTGAAAGCAATTCCACAGTCCTTTCTGTTTCTCTCGTTTGAAAACAAGGAAATGTAACTTTTTTCGAACTTCCCATAGTTCGCCCTGAGTCACAGATGTTTGAAAAGAAATCCAGGCCTGTTTGCCGTGTCAGTTTCACTGCCATGTGTCACTGTGTAGCCGCAGTTTCAGTTTAAGGGTGCGTTTGTGCTACGTCTCCCCCATGTTGAGGAATTAACCAGTATTGGCAAGTACTGTCTTTGGGTTTAGATGATGCAAAGAGAGGAGAGAAATAAAGTGAAAAAGACAGCCTTGACTGATACAAAATGAGGATTTTTTTGGGGTCATCTTTGGTATGTTGACGCTTTATCAGCTTAAAAGATGGAGGTTTGAAACAATAATAGGCTATTAGATAACATTTGCTTGGTGATAAGATTTTAAAAATACCTGATTAAAAAGAAGAAAAAACTAACTACTTCTCTTACCGACTTGTTAAAGGTAAAAGCACCACAGCATAGAGAGAGTGGAGCTGCACTGCTTAAATTTTAAGCACAGCTCTGCCACTTAGGGGCTGTGTACCCTGACCAACTTCCCATTACTAAATTCCTCATACCGACTGCAGATATCAGTTAATTCACAACATCTGAGATTCCTAACCATTTTACTTATGTTAGTCAAGAAATCCTTAAAATAAGCATTATGGTAATGCTAATTTACATCAATATACTTCCAAACCAAGTAATTCCATACCATCTCTGGGGTTCACTTCTTTTTAAATGCTTGGAATTCTCTTCTCCCAATTTATATTTCCCGAATATTCACCAAACTTCTTGTCTGCCTGGCCTCCAGGCATAAGCTTGGGACCAGGGGAGCCATCACTACTTTTCTACTGTAAATTTGTACTTTAGCATTATAGAAGCCGGCTGTGCATCTCAGCACCTTTCCCTGAGGGACACAGGAAACAATCTATGTTTTACTCACTTGCTATGACAAATGGCAAGAAATGTGTATGTGTGCAAAAGTGGCAAAAGGGGATTTTGACTCACCTTTATGCTCCAGATAACTGATTTTGCTTATATTTATGCAACTACCACAGTGGGTCCAATAGACCCACACCACACCAGAATTTGTTACCAAAAAAATTTCCTTTTGATTTTCCTGGTAGAAGTAGCCCAATTCAGTACAATGGCACATAAAAAAAAATAGATTTGCAAGTTTTGGAGGAGGTCAAAAGTGAATCACCAGATTACTCATGCATGGATGATAAAGCTGATCCATTATGGTAAAACACATGCTTTCATAACAGAAGAGTGGTGTGCATGGATGAGGAAGATGATGATGACCATGACTTTGACATTGGCCATGTGAGCCAAAGTTCCTGTGACGGTGAAATGGAATAAGAATACACTGATACAGACACAGGGAATGCAGCCCTTCTTGATTCTGATGACAAAGAAAACAAGAATGTGAGCACATATTTGACTAGTTGAAATGTTGAAATGTTGAAAATGCAACCAAATGGAATGATCCAATGTTAGAACTAGGTCTGAAAATACAGTGAGGATCTTGGGAGGGGTGATACGTATTGGACAGAAGGCCAGCATTGCCATTCAGTGTTGGAACTTATACCAGAGGAAATGCTACAAGATGTTGTGCAATGCACACAGTAAAGTAAAATGTTCTCTATGTACCAGTAGCTATATTCAAAAATGTATTTACCAGGACAGCTCCCTGGTTGAACTGAAAGCATTCAGCTGTACTTAGCATAGATTTCTCATAGTGATCGCAGGAATGTAAAAGACTCATCGAAAAGCAATGGGTCAAAATATGGCATAAAAATGTATGCCCTTGTAGATGCAAAGACTTATGATGCTTTCAGTTTAGACATTTATCCTGGAACTCAGCCATCATTGGGTCCTTATTTGTACAGTAATCAACCAAATGATGTTGTGAACAGACTTGCTGGAATGAGACACTGGACAACTGGATTACTGGTTTTTTACTGATGTTACACTTGCTTTTTTTTTGGTTTTTCTCCGGTACCGGGAACCGAACTTACGACCTTGCACTTGCCAGGCAGGCGCTTTTGCCGCTGAGCTAAATCCCCAGCCCCTACACTTGCTAACAGAGCACAAGCTGACTGGCAGAGGGACTTACACAGGAACAAAGCAGAAACTCCAGACGAAGTGCTGCAATTTACAAATGGAGAATTATGTATTACAATCTTTGGATGTCAGAAAGATAGAACATTGGCCTCATATACGGCAAAGAAAAACAAACTGGTACTGCTGATGTCCACATTTTACCATGATGGAAATATTCATAGGGAAACCTCGACAAAGCAGAAGGCTGAGTTGGAAACTTTCAACAACAAAACCGAACGTGGAGTAGATGTTGTTGATGATTTATGCAGCAAATATGACCTCACTTGAAACACAAAGCATTGGGCAATGGTTGTGTTTTATTTGAGCCAACAGAGGAAAAGCAAAATGTTTCTGCCCAAGGAAATATGCCAAAAGATTGTGAGCACACTGGTGAGCGGCCAGGTGAATAGGCAGGTGCAGCATCACAAAGACCTACTGCAACAACAGGAAAACAAGAAAGATGTCAACAGTGCCCTACGAGAAAGTACAGGAAAACAAGACATATGTACTCTCAGTGTAAGCAACACTTGTGCATGGAACACACAGTTGTCATGTGTGAAGACTGCCTTGGGTGTGCCAAAGCTTGAAGCAAAGCTTGTTTCTGTGGTACACTTTTGTTTGTGTTTACACTGTAGTTCACATAGGTTTATTTATTCAATAAATTTGTTTATTTATTTATTTATTTATTTATTTTTGATATTGGGTATCGAACTCAGGACCTTGCACTTGCTAGGCAGGTGCTTGTGCCCCTGAGCTATTTCCCTGGCCCCAGGTTTTTATTTTTGAAGCTATCTTTTAGGTGTTGTAAGCAAACAAACAGCTGATGTGAAAATGTTGATATCTATTCTAAGCGCTCACGGTAGATTTGATATTTTATTTTATTGACATCTTATTTCCTTGCTAAGTACATCATGTGCAATATAGTAGGAAGCTCCTGACAAAACAGGAAGAAAGATGACTAGACTGCCATATAGGAAAGGAAAGCTAAGCACACATGCTGTCAGTAAAAACATGACATGTGCATGGAACATCCAGTTGTCATATGTAAAGACTGCCTTGAGTGTGAAAGTTGAAGCAAATCTTATTTTTGTGGTAGAGTTCTACTGATATTTTCATTATAGCTCACATAACAATTTATTTCTGATGTTATCTTTTAAGCTGTGTAAGGAAGTGCACAGCTGATGTGACAGTGTTGATAACTACTGTAAATGCAGAATACATATTAAGAATTTAATAATTTATTTTATTGCTATTTTATGTTGCTGTTAACTACACACTGTATAATATAGTAAGAAGCTCCTGACAAGAAAGCATGACCGGTGAGATGTCAGTATGCCCCACAAACAGGCCAGAAAAGTAGAAGACATGTGCTGTCGGTGTAAACGATACATGTGTATGGAGCATGCTGTGTGCAGACCGCCTGTGGTATGATAAGTGAAGTAAAGATTTTTTTTTTTTGTAGAGTGCTATGGGTATTTTCATTGTAGTTTATATGGGAGTTTTTCTTCTTTAATTTTCTTTTTTAGACTTTGTACACCAAAACCAAGTTGATGTTGAAAATTTTGATGCTTTTCTATAAACAGTTAATAAATGTTAAGAACTCAATAATTTATTCTTGTGATTTTTTTCCCATTAAAAATTCATTGTTCATAAAACTCATAAAATTACCATTCATAATTCATCAATAGAAATATTCTAAAGATGACAAAATTGTCTTATGCTCCAGCGGCTACATCTACATCTTTTCCCCAAACTTGTGTTTGTCTCTGCTGCTATGAAGGCTATTTAACATTCTATGTTCATTACATGCAGTAGTTGAAAGTTAGCTGGGAGAAAATCAATTGAGATTATTGATCATAGCGCTTCACTCACCAGGCCAAAAGCCTCGAACAGGGATAATTTAGCTTTAGTTATCCAGTGGAAGGAGTGCCTTATTTGGAGGGAAAATAAAAGAAAAAGAAGTCATTGTCATTTTGCCTAGATAACGGAAGAACATTTTTTCTGCTTGCCATAAAGACATCAGTGAGCCAATTGACTAGTTCAACTAAAAAGTAGAAGAAACACATAAATGCAAATCATAGAAGGCATATATTAGAAAAAATACTTAGCTTAAAATTCTTCTTAGGTGGCAAATATCAGGATTATTACTGTTTTCAAATGTTCAGAAGTGCTCCAGCATCCCTTAGAAGTACTGCACATTCTTGGGTCATATAATTAGTTAATTTTATAAACATAAAGAAACCTAAGGGTAGGCCCCCAGAGGGAGGGCCCCTGGTGCATGGGGAGCCACGGGCAGGGAGTGCCAGTCTTCGGAGCGGCAGCTTACTCCCTGCCTCGTAGGCCACCGGAGGGAGGGCCTCCAGCGCACGGGGAGCCATGTGGCGCGCCGGCCTTCAGGCCCGCCGCCGCTGCTCAATTGAGAACTATCATGACACAGAGAAACAATGACACAATTGGCCCACCATGCACCAGCTGCAGATGCACACCTAAGGACGTGTGTGAATCATTCAAACA